ATTAATGTGGAAACAATGGTCTTACTCCCCCTCTAAAATAATAAAACACACACACACACACACACACACACACACACACACCTCATGTTGCAGTATCTTAGGGAGATACCTGACTCCAGCTTCCTGTTAATATAAATTGTGGGAATTAGCAACAATGTCTCAGGGTAGTCCCTGCCATACAGCAAAAACAGCAAAAAGAACAGGAGGAAAGACATGGTGTAATTTAGTATCGCAAGCTTAACACTGTGTATGAGGAGATAAAGCTTCTCGGCCCTTTGGCTAAGATCAAGTGTGAGGAGATTAAAAATTAATGGCAATTATAAACCAAACCCTGAAGTAACCACTAAAATAAGAAAACAAAGGATTATGGTTGGTAAGAAAACAAAGGACATAAAAAGAAATAAGAAATATCTGATTAGTGTAAAGGAATGCAACAAGAGAAAAAGAGGAGGAAGAACAGGATAATTAGAAACAAAACAAGATAACAGACTCGAACAAAGCCACATCAATACTCATTAACACTAAGTGATTTGGGGCCAGTGTTCTGATGTGGCAGGTAAGGCCCACCTGCAACAGCAACATCTCATATGGCTGCCAATTCAGGTACCAGCTGCTCCACTTTCTCTTTTTCTTTCTATAGACTTATTTTGCTTGGAAAAGCAAATCTACACATAAAAAGAGATAGAAAGATCCTTTGTTCACTACTTTACTCCCCAAGTGGTCACAAGGGCTGGAGCTTCCTCCAGGTCTCCCGTTCGGCACAGGGCTCCAAGGCCCTGGTCATCCTTCACTGCTTTCTTGGGCCACAAGTAGCCCGGGGAAAATGAACCCAGAAGTGGAGCAGCAGGGACACGAACCAGCACACATATGGGATCCCAAGCATGCAAGACAAGAAGTTTTAGCCACTAGGCTATTGCGCCAGACCCAAGCTGTTCCACTTTCAGTCCAGCTCCCTGCTAATGGTCTGGGAAAAGCAGTGGAAGTTCGTCCAAGTGTTTGAACGCCACCCATGTGGAAGACCCAGATAGTGCTAATGGCTCCTAGCTTTGTCATGACCTAGCACTGGCCACTGCAGCCTACCAGGGAATGAATCAGCATATGGAAGCAACCCCTGTCTCTCCCTCCTTCTCTTTTTGCCCCTTGACTTTCAGAAAAACCACAGCTTTGAAAAACATAAATGATCTAAACACTTAAATTGAGATAAATGATCAAACCAGACACAAAAGCAAGAAATAGCTGCATGTTGCTAAGAAAAAAATACATTCAAATGATTTATTTCAAAAGTAAATGACAGAAAAAAACATACTCAAAAGCAATGCAGTAGTGGCTACAATATTTTCAGACAACACAGATTTCAAAGTAAATTATATGAATAAAGATCAGGGTTTGGCACAGTAGCTTAATGGCTAAAGTCCTCATGTTACATGTGCTGGAATCCCATATGGACACTGGTTCTAATCCTGGTAGCTTCACTTCCCCTCCAGCTCCCTGCTTGTGGCCTGGGAAAGCAGTCAAAGCTGGCCCAAAGCCTTGGGACCCTGCACCCGCATAGGAGACCCGGAGGAGGCTCCAGGCTTCTGGCTTCAGCTCAGCTCAGCTTTGCTTGCTGCGGTTAATTGGAGAGTGAAGCATTAGACAGAAAATCTTCCTCTCTGTCTTCCCTCCTCTCTGTATATGACTTTCCACTAAAAATAAATAAATCTTAAAAAAAAAAAAATCGATGAAATTCATATACCTCTACCCTAAGTGATCAGGAACAAAAAAAGACAGATTACCAACATTAGGAAGCAGATCAAATTACCACAGATCCTACAGAGACCAAAATAATGATACTGTAAACTTTATGGCAATAAATTACACAACCTAAAAATCAATATATTCCTTAAAAAAAACAGAGTACCCAAGTTATTCAATAGATAGAACTATACAGCTGTGTGCCTAGAAAAGCAATTGAAACTAGTTTTTAAAAATTTCCCTTCACGGGCCCGGCGCGGTGGCGCAAGTGGTTAAGTCCTCGCCTTGCACGCCCCGGGATCCCATATGGGCGCCGGTTCTAATCCCGGCAGCCCCGCTTCCCTTCCAGCTCCCTGCCTGTGGCCTGGGAAAGCAGTTGAGGACGGCCCAAAGCTTTGGGACCCTGCACCCGCGTGGGAGACCCGGAAGAGGCTCCTGGCTTCGGATCGGCATAGTATCGACCCGTTGCGGCTCACTTGGGGAGTGAATCATCGGATGGAAGATCTTCCTCTCTGTATCTCCTCTCTGTATATCCGCCTTTCCAATAAAAAATAATAAAAATAAATCTTTAAAAAAAAAAAATTTCCCTTCACATACACAAGCAAAACAAAAAAAATTTAAGTGCACATTCAAATAGATTCACTACTGAATTTTACCCTGCACTTAAGAAATAATAATTCTACAGGAATTCTTTCAGAAGCAATAGAGGGAGGGGTATTTTCAACTCAACAGCAACACAACTGGTCAAGACATTGTAAGAAAAGGAAACACAGGAAGGTACAAGCAAGAAGCTTCAATCAAAATTACAGCAAAGTGAATACAATAAAACAAGAAAAAGATAACACACCATGAGGTGTATCCTTGGGATGTAGGTTTGCTCTAACATATATGATCAATGTAATTTAGCATAATATCACAGTTAAAAAGAAAAGATGTAGGTCATCTCAAAATATGTAGAAAAAGAACCTGAGGGCCCGGAGCGGTGGCGCAAGTGGTTAAAGGTCCTCGCCTTGCACGCCCGGGGTCCCATATGGGCGCCGGTTCTAATCCCGGCAGCCCCGCTTCCCTTCCAGCTCCCTGCCTGTGGCCTGGGAAAGCAGTCGAGGACGGCCCAAAGCTTTGGGACCCTGCACCCGCGTGGGAGACCCGGAAGAGGCTCCTGGCTTCGGATCGGCATAGCACCTGCTGTTGCGCTCACTTGGGGAGTGAATCATCGGACGGAAGACCTTCCTCTCTGTCTCTCCTCTCTGTATATCCGCCTTTCCAATGAAAAAATAATAAAAATAAATCTTAAAAAAAAAAAAGAAAAAGAACCTGAAAAAAAAAAAAAACCCACCACCCACTCCTGTTTCGAAATTCGTTGCAAAGTGGGCATTGAGGGATCTTTTATTTTTTTATATATAATTTTACTTCTTTTTATTATCATTTTCTGATACAGTTCCATAGGTCCCGAGGTTTCCATTATTCCCTCCTCAATTCCCTCTCCTCTCACTGAGTTCCCCTATATCATTACTACAGTATAGTTCACCATACACATTCAAAAGTCCATTCCTACAGTTCAATTTTACCTATTGTAGTTGGTACACAGCTCATTGTTTGCAGTCACCTGTGCCACTTTCAGTGCGTTTCAGGTCTGAGTTCTTATGTTAGATTTCCTCCATGGTCTTCATCGCCCCAACTCCTGGCTTACCACTCTCCACCTCCTGTGATACCGTGCTGAGGCTGCACCATTGTCTGTACAACCTTTTGCCACTTATAGTTGGAGCTGGTCTCAGGGTTAGGGAGACACCAGGTATCCTATATAGCTAGGTTGTTGGTGGTGCTTATCTTGCTGGAACCTGTTGGCTATTAGGTCTGAGGGCCACACAGTCCTATTTTGACCCATACAATGCCACAGTCGGTATTACTTTTCTGTGGAACCAGTGCAATGCAATGAGTTTGGTGAGTTCTTGCCAAGCTCTGCACATGTGCAGCTCACTGTTGTTCCCTGTAGTCTTAAAGCCTTTGCCACACTGTAAGAAACAGTGCCTGATGTGCCACTACTGGAGTTCTTGATCTGCTGGCAGTCAGGTCTGAGAGCTACTTGGACATGTCCTGGGTGGAACTTGCAGGATGTCATGCTGTTGCAGTTCACTGAGGTAGAAATGAGGTCACTCTCAGCTCAGTGCATGCGCAGTCCTGCCCCACAGCCCTTGCCTCCTTAAACAAGATGGTGCCTAATTCGGCTCTAGGAAGTGGATTGAGCCATGAAATTCACCCTCTTCCGCACCACCTGTCTGGGACCTGCTGCCCTGTCTCTGCTCCTGGTCAAATCAAACAGTCCAACCAGCAGGACGAGCAGTTCTTTGGGTTCACCTCTGGAGTCCCAGGTAACATCCCTTCTCACTTTGTTGCTGGTGGAATTCCAGCTGCCAGTGGAGTTCAGATTGTCATTCACTGCAACACCACACCTGCTTTGTGTCTGCTGCTTTCCTGTCTCTGTCAATCTCCAGGTACCCCTCTGCTATTGTTCTATCCTCTCTTATTTCCTGGAATGTGCCCTCTCTGCTTTACACTGGCTAATACTTCTCCATCTGTTTAAATGTGTCCTTACCCTATTCCACCATCTTGATTTTCCCATTGAGGGATATTCTTGAACCAGATAAAAACGCCTATGCAAACCTATAACTAACATTCAACACTAAAAAAAGAACATCTAACAACATGGATAATCTTAACATGAGATGCCAGATAAAATGATAATGAATTACTTCATTCGATAAAAGTGCTAGAAGAAAACACACGCTAATGTGTGGCAATACAGGGGGATGGAGAATGGATAAACAAGTTCCCTGGGAACTTTCGGAGTCATGGATATGCTCATTAATTTGGCTGTGGGAAGGTTCCACAGGTACCTGCATATCACAACTCTTCAGAGCACATACTTTAAATGTGCACTTTATATCAATTATTCCTTAATGAATGCTATTAAAGAAACCACACATACACATACACATGGGGAGGGGTCCTCAAAAATTAAAGGAAAATATACATTATGAAAGAACTAAGCAAAAATCTCAAGTGTTTGCTTTGAAAGCAGCTTATCTTTTCATCTTAGCCTTCCAAGCACTTTCTGAAGCACCCTCCTCCCCATACACACTCATACATGTAAAGCATGCCTGTGGCATTTAACGCAATGCCAACTTCAGTAAAGAGTGCTTGGTACAAACTAATACAACTTTCAGGAAAACATTCCAGCTTCTTCACAGGGAAGAATCCCATCTTACCTTAAAGAAAGAATGGATAGCAGCTGTGGCTTCACTGCGAACCCTCAATATAGACCCCAGGACATTCGTCCTACACCTCAGGTGAGGATACTGTCTCAAGTACTCCAGGGGATGCCTCTCTTTATACTTGATAGGGAAAGCCTGTCAAGATACAGAGAAACAAATTAGTCCTAAGGTGCCATAATGGGGGCTAGCATCATGGAGAAGCTAGTTAAGCAGCAGCAGCTTGCAATGCCACTGTCCTATACTGAAGGACTCCTGGCTGCACTTCCAAACCAGCTCCCTGCTGCCGAGTCTGCAAAGGCAACAGAGGATGCCCGAAGTACTGCAGTCCTTGCCATCCACGTGGGAGAAACTGAGTCCTGACTCCTGGCATTGGCCTGGCTCAGCCCTGGCTACTGCAGCCATGTGGGCAGTGAACCACTGCATAGATCATCTCTCTACATTCCCCTGCCCCTCCAAGCACCCCTTTCAAATAAATAATATTTATTATTATAAAGTGTTATAAAATCAGTTTAGAATAAAACAATTTTAGAATAAAATTTTCCTTCTTTATTTTCCAATATTATTTGACCACAGCCCACATTATTCTACAGGTAAGTACAATGGTGGAGTACATTCAGAGAGATTTGAATTATTGGAATTAAATCCAGTTCTACAATTTGTTAATTAATTACTTACTTTAGGTTCATCTGCCAACCACTGATTACAAACAGAAGTTAAAACATAACTATGTAAATGAGTCTACTGTTTAGCATTCAGTAGTTCAGAATACTATATATATTAAAGACTGCTTCTTTTTAAAGATTTACGTTTATTGGAAAGGTAAACAGACAGAAGGAGAGAAAGACAACAACAGAGACTTTTCATACATTGGTTTACTCTCCACCTGGCCTGCAACAGCCTGGGCGGGGCCAAGCTGAATCCAGGATCCCAGAACCCAAACCAAGTCTTCCATGTGCGTGGCAGGGACCCAAGCAATTGAGCCATCACCTACTGCCCCCAGGTGTGCTTTACCAGCAGGAGGCCTGAAACCCAAGCAGAGCCAGGCCTCAAAACAGAGCCAGGCATTGCAACACAGGATGTAGGTGCCCCAAGCAGCATCTTCACCACTGTGTCGCCTGCTCCGATAAATTGTATTTCCTACCACTATATGCTAGTGTTCAATTTTGAAGTCATCCAAGTGTTTTCAAAGTCTATGATACTTCATAATCATTTGGTACTACTACGATTACTGGTTTGTACAAAAATGAGGAAAGGTCAACAGCTTTTCCTCACTTAACTTACTGCAGATTTATTAAAAATTCTAAAGGAAATGATGATTCCAGTTGGAAACCCTCCCACCATGACCACAAAATAAAAATAAAATTAAAAAGGCACATACGTCCTTTCAGACAAAAAATGAGCTTCAGAGGCAGGTGCTTGGTGCAGTGGCTAGGTTGCCACATGGGATGTGTACATCCCACACTGGAGTGCCTGCTTTGAATCCAGGCCTCTCTCTCTCTGACCCAGCATCCTGTTAGTTCACATCCTGCAGGCGGTGGATGAGGGCACAAGTACTTGGGTTCCGTTCACCTGCACGGGAGACACAAATGGGATATCTGCCTCCAGTAAGCATTTGGGGAGGAAACCAGTATATGAAAGATACCTCTCCATCTGTCTAGACTCTTCCAAACAAAAACAAATTAATTTTAAAAGGTATCAAAAAAAAAAAAAAAGGAAACAGAAAAGCTAAAAAAACAGCTGCATTAACAGCTTGTTCTTACAGTCTTGTCTGTTATTTTTAGGCCTATGAGCACGTTCCTTTTTTAATTATTTATTTATTTTTGCTGTTGTACAGGGATAAGCACTACAGTTAAAGTGAAAATGGGACCACATTCTCAGAAATTCAGGGAATGGTAGGACTCAGAATTCCCTAACGGTTTCCTCTCCCATATTAGAATGACACGAAAGGGAAAAGGAAGATGAAGGCACCAATGGAAATCAGAACGTACAATTTAAGTCATGTAAGGAAAGCTAGAAAACACTTTGGCTTGATAATCCAGTAATGGCAGGCACCAGCCACGAGTGCCTGTTTTATATTAATTAAATTACATTAGGTGTGAAAAAGATGAGATCTTTACTGGCATTGGCCTTGTTGCAAGTGGTCAGGACTCATACTGACTGCAATATTGCATAGCACGAGTATAGCACATTTCCATTTACACAGAAAATGCGGCTAGTGGTGCTGCTGCAGAAGCCATCACTTGGCTTGAGCAAAGACAAGAAGTTCAACCATTAAGACTTGTTTATCCATAGTTTCACAAAGCTCTCTTTTTTTTAAAATTAATTACATTGCATTATGTGACACAGTTTTTTAGGCACTGGGATTCCCCCCACCTCTCCCCACACCCTCCCGCCACGGTGGATTCCTCCACCTTGTTGCATTACCACAGTTCAAATTCAGTTTTGGAAGTATTTACCAAGCATAAAGTCCAGCATCTTACTGTCCAGATAAGTTCAACGGTTTCTTGGGGAGACCATCTCTGGTCTGAAGGTAGAGCCCGCAAAGTATCATTCCAATCAATTAAAAGGCCCCACATAACAGCAGCAACAAGTTACAATGTTATGGAATTAGCTGACATGATACTGAGTAACCAATATGTCAAAAAACACAAAGCTCTTTTGTTAGAGGCTTCAGACCTATAAATCTGATAAAGAGGTTAGAGGGAATAAAATCAAAGATTCAGCTCAATTGCTTGAACCCACAGTGATAAAGAGAATGAGGCCTAGCCAAGTGAAATGATGTGCTTAAGGTTATCAGTGGATTACTGGCATAGCTGAAACTAATGTTCTAGCCATTGGCCTTCTCTGATTTTGCTGCAACTGTCATTATGTATTAAAAAAAATTGGGAATAGGGAAATAATGTCAAATAGAGAAATCACATCATTTTAAGTTTTTAGTTATTTTGAAATAAAGAAATAAGAAAGTTCTCTTTAAAAATGTCATTTCGACTTATTTTGCAAGAAATTCAAATTGACATAAAAATTAGGAATCATGAAAGAGTTTGAAAATCACAAGGAATGGAGGAAGCAACAATTTTTGCTTTGCTCTATTTTGTTTTTAGAAAAGTCCATGATTGCTAAAAAGTGGCCATCCTTATTGTACGTCCTGATTTCCATTGGTGTTGATGTCTTCATCTTCCTTTCCCCTTTCATGTCACTCTAACGTGGGAGAGGAAACCGTTAGGGAATTCTATCACTGTGATTGATGCAGAATACTTACAAACTTGGTGAGTTTTAACTGTGACATGTGTTATCGAGAATAACAAATTAAAACTTAGCTCTCACTCATTAAGCCATCTACAGGAAGAACTGCTTCTACTTATCAGTGAAGATACGAGTGAAACACATTGCAAATGCCATCTTCCCCAAGACCTCACTTAAAACAGAATCCTACTACTAAATTTAGCCAAAACCACCCCAAAAAGTGTCACAAAACATACCTTGGCATCACAATTTCCAACAACTTCAATGTGCTCTGCCTTCAGTTCCACATTTTGCTTTTTAGCTGGACTTTTTACCAGCTGTCCGTGGACTTCCACAGAACTCCCAAAAGCTAAATCTCTACAAGATAATAAACAAGACAGCAACATATGTAAGAAATACTCATTTTAATACAAGTCACACTATTGAAATATTAAAATACTGACAGAAGATTTTACCCTTAAGTGACTCAACACAATTCAAAATCTGTGGATGCTCTTTTACATACCAAAGTTATAAAAATGAATTCCATAAGCTTTAAAATGGAAACAAAGAAGAATTTGTGTGCAAGTATTTCCAATTAAGAGGTGATAACTATAATCCTTATCAAAAAGTAACTTGGCCAACAAACTTTTCAAAAGATTGCAGGTTACATGTAAAACCTGGTGAAATCAAAGGTTTGTAATTTCATTAGTAAAACCAATGTCAATTCTCTTCGGTAATATACAAGCATACCACAAAAGTTCATAGAAAATGTGTATTATAAAAAAAACTATGCACGCATTTCAAAAGTCTCTTGCACAAAAAAAAACCCTTACCTTTTTTTTTCTTTTTTTTTTTAAAGATTTATTTTATTATTATTATTTTTTTTATTGGAAAGGCGGATATACAGAGAGGAGAGACAGAGAGGAAGATCTTCCGTCCGATGATTCACTCCCCAAGGGAGCGCAACAGCCAATGCTATGCCAATCCGAAGCCAGGAGCCTCTTCCGGGTCTCCCACGCGGGTGCAGGGTCCCAAAGCTTTGGGCCATCCTTGACTGCTTTCCCAGGCCACAGGCAGGGAGCTGGAAGGGAAGCAGGGCTGCCGGGATAGAACCGGCGGCCATATGGGATCCCGGGCGTGCAAGGTGAGGATCTTAACCACTTGCGCCACCGCGCCGGGCCCAAAACCCTTATCTTTTAATTTTATTTTCCATCGACTTTCTGAAGCACTCTTACATCAGAGTTAGGGAACATGTTACACTGAGAAAGTAAGGAAAAAGTAAGAATTCTCTCTACTTTTTTTGCAATGTCTAATTTATGTAAAAGGGTTTTTGAAAAAGGTAGCTGAACACACATACACTTTCTAAAATTCCATAAGTGTAGGTCCTAGCCCAAATTCATCCACCAAGTAACTAGAGGACAACTACACAAAGTCATCCAGACTCACTCAACAATCATCTAGCAAGAAGAAGCTGAGACCAAATGATGACATATCTGCTCGAGATCTAACATTTCTCATCAAGTTTAATATTTTTTTCTGAAATATTACAATACAGCACAGTAATATAACTTGTCAAAGTAAATGTGCCAAGACCCTGCCACCCAGTTCTGCTTCCTTACTACATTTAATTATTTCATTTTAAATGTATTCTTGGGCCCGGCGCGGTGGCGCAGTGGTTAAGGTCCTCACCCTGCACTCCCGGGATCCCATATGGCCGCCGGTTCTAATCCCGGCAGCCCCGCTTCCCTTCCAGCTCCCTGCCTGTGGCCTGGGAAAGCAGTCAAGGACGGCCCAAAGCTTTGGGACCCTGTACCCGCATGGGAGACCCGGAAGAGGCTCCTGGCTTCGGTTCAGCATAGCATTGGCCGTTGGCTCCCTTGGGGAGTGAATCATCGGACGGAAGATCTTCCTCTCTGTATATCCGCCTTTCCAATAAAAAAATAATAAAAATAAATCTTTAAAAAAAAATGTATTCTTATGTAACTTTTAGAAGTAGGATTGTTCATCATTGCATCATACAGGTGTACTTTCAACAAACCTGATGGGGTATTTTGAGAAGTCCCAACTTAAAACATGTTCAACATCCTTGTACATGAATTTTACCCTGGGGCCTCTTGCGCATACCTCATTCATCCTCCAAAACCTCTAAAACTGAGACACCATTGGATCTATGTGACTGCTATGCTGACACCTACTAATCAGAAAAAGCTACAAACTTTGAAAAAAGATTACTACTGCACTAGAAGAAGTTTCTACTGTTCTCCCCAAGTGATCAAGCAATTGGAGAGACACAAAAGCATTCAATATGTACAAAGCATTTAACTCCAACAACGCTCAGAATACTCTTGTTCTAATAAATCACAATCAAATGCTGTGTTTCGGAGCTTATATCCTAACATATATATGGCATTTGTTTTAAAACCTGATGGAGATAACGAAAGTTTTTTCCACATACTGGTTTCTGAATCAGCACTGTGTAACAGGTTATGAATACAAAATGAATGAGATACCATTCCTAATCTCAAGAAACTAAGATCTAGCAGGAGGAGCCCAGTAACAGTGTAGCTGATTACCAGCCAGTGTGATACACTGGAAGGCAGAAGGGGGCACAGGATGCTCTGGAAACCCAGAGTATGGACATCTGAGGCTGTCAACAGACGGGAACATCAGAAGATGGCTAAACTGAACTGTGGAAGGTAAGTGATAAAGAGGCTAGAAGCATGCATGAGAGCCTAGGGCCAGTGCTGTGGTGTAACAGTGAAGCTGCTACTTTATGCAGCATCCCATAGAGGTGTCGGTTCAAGTCCTGGCTGCTCTGCCTCTGTTCTAACTCCCTACTGATAGAGAAAAGCAGCAGAAAATGGACCAAGTATTTGGGCCTCTACCACCCATTTGCCAGACCTGGAAGAAGTGCCTGGCTCCTGCTTCTGGCCTGACTCAGTTGTGGCTGTTATAGGAAGTGGAAGATCTGTCTCTCTTTCAAATAAATTAAAAAAGAAAAAACTTTAAAAAAGTAGAAGACAAAGAACAAAATGGCACAGGAGCGTCATGCAAGACCAGGGAAGATGGAAACAAAGATTAGAAGGTGTTAGATAAAGGAGAAGCCTATCTCTGAAATCTCTGAAGGAGTTCTTCACAAACTATGCATTCATTCCAAAGGCAGAGTAACACAGAAAGAGCTTCATCTGCTGGCTCACTCCCCAAATGGCTGTTACAGCTTGGCTGGGCCAGGCTGAAGACAGGAGCCAGACAGCACCCCAGCCTCCCATGAGTGGAAGCACTTAGATCCCTGCTCTTCCAGGCACATGAGCAGGAAGCTGGATTGGAAGCAAGAGTTTCTGGGTTTCAAATCACCACCCTCCAGTATAGGCTGCCAGTCCCATTTGCAGCATCTTGATTCTTATTCTTAACGTCAAATGAAAAGCAGATACAAGGATCCTTCCAGGGGGAAGCATGCATACTAGATTAGGGAAGTGGGAAGCACCGAAGATGAATCATGACCTTTTCTTGGTCTACTCACCTACTGCCAAAGCTTGCATCTGCAACAACTTGAAGGCTTTCCAAAGACGACCCATCATTTACATGCAGAAACAAGACTTCCTTTTGGGCTCGGATTGAACGAATCCACCCCTAAAGCAGAGAAATACTTTTAACGTCAACTTGCTACACTACTCACAGTCCAGTCTTCAGTAACTCAACTGCTGTTTAGTTCGCCCACACGCATGCCTAGCTTTACATGACTCTTACCACAGTGAGATACACACTCTGACATTCCACCTTGGATTATAAAGCTCACCATCTTGAACGGACATCACACACACCACCACCAATCTCTTCAGTATTGGCTATTCCAGTACCTTCCCAACCTTTCCCTCCAGTTACAAGTAACAGTGCATGTATCTCAGCACCTTTTCCTTCTTTTGTCAAATTCCCAAGGAGATGACACGGTCAGACTAGACACACCACCACAAAGGCCAAAAATCAAAAAAGGTCTCAGAAACCTTCTCAAGGAGTCGGCATTTCTCCTAGACGTTAAGATACTGCCAGGACACCAGCATCCCTCATCAAAGCTCCTGGGGGCAACACCCAGCTCCAACCCTATAAGCCCAGCCTCTGAGCAGCACTGACCCTGGGCCATGGCACCGGCAGCTCAAGGGATCAGGGCTCTGCACCCACATGTGAGATGCTGAGCTTCTGACTCCTGGCTTCGGTCACCTGGCCACTGCAGGCACTTGGAGGGGTACTGCAGCTGACATATGCGCTCTACCTCTCAAATGAAAATCTACACAACAATGTCCAGCACAGTATGAACCCATATTAAGCAACACTTAAATTCCCTGTCTTTATTTAAAAGATACATGCCGCTGCAAGACATGTCTTCAAGCAGAACAGTAATACCAAAAACAGCTTTCTGAGATACACGCAACGTCAACTTAATTAACACAGAAGGAATAAAAATCTTCTAGCAGATTCTGAGCAATTGCGAAACGTCTAAGATGCGTAACCCAAGTGAGGAATTCACTGCCAAGCTGGACAAGATTCCCACTTATCTGCGTCTCCGCAAGGCTTTAAGGTGGAAAGCACTTCAGTGGCTGTGGAGCACAGACAGGAAAGAACAGCCACCACTATCATCAGGTATTGTGCATGTACCACTTAGCACACATTTTTGCAATCTTCGTATATTATCTCATTTACTTCTCAGCATACCCAGAAGGATTATCAGGACCGCCACTTCACAAGTGAGGAAACTGAGCTTCACAGACATTACAGAACTTGTAGAATGTCTCTCTGCTTGGAGCAGGCAGTCTAAATTTGAATCCAAGAGTATGTGAGCAGAAAATCCTGGGTCTTGGGCCAGCATGGTGGTGCAGCATGCTGATTCTCCACCAGCAGCGCCAGCATCTCACAGAGGCACCCTGTGGTGTCCCAGCTGCTCCACTTCGGAACCAGCTCCCAGCTCATGGTCTGAGAAATCAGCTGAAGGTGATTAAACGCTGTCTCCCTAGCACCCACGTGGGAAGCCCCAATGGAGCTTCTGGGTTCAGCTGGAACCAGACCTTGCAGACAGCTAGGGAGTGAACCAGGGAATTAAAGACCTGTCCCTCCAACTCTTTCAAAAACAAATCTTATACAGAAATACTTACACATATTCTCCTAATTCATTAAGCACAAAACACGCAAAGCTCCACCTGAGGCTCTTAGGGGGCTGAAGGCAGCTGAACACAGTTTAAGTCCAACTGTCATGTCCGAGTCCCAAGCAGGCAAGTCTGGGTTTCTGGACTCAAGGACAGGTAAGGACACGGAAACCGGGCTTGGTCGTCTATGCTTCTTCTAATAAGTCTGCCCGCCATGCCCTCGTGTCACGAAGGCAAAGTTCCAGCACTGCACAGCAATCGGAGCGTTCAGGGGACCCATGGGAAGGGCGAGCCCACGGCATGCCCACATGTCCTCACCCGGACAGGGAAAAGCAAAGCTGGACGTGGATGTGTCCCACAAGTCCCTAACCACGTCCCGAACACCCACCTGGACTTTAACGCGCTCCCCACTCGGGGGCTGGGCCCTGAGGGCGTCCCGCACGCTCAGCCTGCCCCGACCCTTGCACCTTGGGCGGGGAGCGGAGGAGCAGAGGCAGCGCAGCGTTCGGAGCAGGCACGGGGCCGCAAGCATCGCCGCCGTGCCCGCTGCGGGTGCTCCCCTCTTGGCCGCCGCTACCCGGACTTCAGGCGCTCCGGAGGCCCCAGCTCGAACCCCGCAGAACCTCCCTTCCGCTTCCCTCTTCCCCACACGGCGGCACAGGCAGCAGCCCGAGCCAGCGCACGCAGCCCGCCGCTGCCCAGTCCCGCACTAATTCTAAACCCACGCCCCCAAACACGCGCAGCAGCACGCCTGCCCCGCCTCTGCGTCTCCGCGCCAGCGCCGCTCACGTCATCACGCTACGGTGGGAGGGGGAAGGTGGGTGAAAGAGAGCATGCGCACTGGCATCCCCGAGCCCGAGTAGCGGGCCCGGGACGGGATGCAGGAGGCGGGGCAAAGGAAGGGCGGGGCCTAGGGCGGGAATGGGCGGAACCTGGAGCTGGGATGGGGCGGGGCTAAGGCCCGACCTGGCTGTAAGGGCCCCAAAGCAGCTGGCGGCGAAGGCTGGGTGGTGTTCTTACAGTCCTCATTTCGAAGGTTTCCATGGACAGCTGAGACGCTGACAGGCAAGAAATAACCTAAGCTTCAGGAAACGCTTGGGTGATGGACTGGCTTGAGGATATCAGTCATTCCTGAGTGCGTGCCCTGAGCGGAGGAAGAGTCAGACACAGGTGCCGCTCAAGTCGGAGCAGTGTGGTACCTACATCACCAGTTGCATCAGAGGGTAACAGATGCCTGATACATCTTCAGTTGGGATGTCAGAGTCGGCTTCCTGCAGAAGGCAGTCTCAGGAATCACTGTTTTTACATAATTCTGTTGAGAGCCAGATCAAAAATGTTTTTCTTAAAGCTACACCAACTTGTCTTGTTCATTACTCCGCCAGGTGATTTGATAGGCGTGTGGCTGTGCCTTGCAATCTTAATCCCTGATGCGACTCAATAGCCCCTGCAAACGCCAATAGATCTTTGACTAGGGTCACTAGACATTTTTCTCTTTTTAAGGATTTATTTGTTTTTTATTGGAAAGGCAGATTTACAGACAGAAGGAGAGATAGAGCTTCCATCCACTGGTTTACTCCCCAAATGCCCACAACAGCCAGAGCTAAGTCAATCCGAAGCCAGGAGCTTCTTCCCACACGGGTGCAGGTCCCAAGGCTTTGGACCATCCGTCACTGATTAGGTATGATTAACCTGTAAAACTTCATACCAGAACACCATATGCCTTAACAAAGACACATCCATCACACGTTGCATCCTGAAAACCCGAACCACTCTATGTACAGTCATATCTTGCTTTGGATTGCACAGAGCTCCAAAAGTGAAGACTGACTCCTTCAGGGCTTATCATTCCAAACTGCACTGTCCATGTGGTCTGGGAAAGTCATTTTATTATCATTCCCACACTTTGCAGCATTTTCCATGGATGATGTGAGACCAAAAAGGCTGATCATGGGGGAAGGAGGGTTGCCAAAGATATTATACTGAAGTAAAAGTAGTTCAGAAATAGTGAGCCTCTCAAAAGTTCAGATTTCTTTTTAAAGGGAATGGTACTTTATCCCCAACATAATTTAAGTTTACAACTACAAATAAAAATCAGACAGACCTTTGGTTAGTTTTATTACTGCTTTGTAAAATTCTGTGCAGCCTAGTCCCCTCTGCTTGCCTGCCCCTTGGCTGGACCACTCCCTTTACCCCTCACTTGGTGCAGGAGTATTTTCTGTACGATGTGGGGAAGGCTGACTTAAGGTAGTTCCCTGCTGCTCTTAGGGGAGCACCAGCCCCTCACGCCCTTCCATCCAATAGGGTCAACTCTCTCTACATGCTGAAAAGATGAAGGATGTCTCTGGAGAGGAACATGTTCTGCCTAAAACCCTGTGAATTCTGAAGCTGATTACATTCTGCTCTGTGACAAAGAACCTGTAAGGAGGTTTACTCAACATTGAACTGTGCAGCCATCAGTACCCACCCCAGCCTAAAACTAATCACTCTCATTGGAGCACTTCAAAAACACAAAAAGAAGATGATGCTTCACCTTGAGTTGTTGAGTAGGAATTTTTTTTTTTTTTTAGTAATTCAATAACTCGGTTCAACTTGTTTTGCATAAGAGTCTTGTGAAAGGGGTATTGGAACCAGAAGACCAAGTGATCACACTGCACAAATAGTAATGTCTAAGAACTCAGGGACCTGGATGTTTCCTTTAACAGATTTAGTCCTCTAGCAGCAATTCCTTGGGGCCCACCAATTCCTGTGAACAATGATATGGAAGATTCATTGATAATGTGACTGTTGCTAAAAAGAAATGATCTATACTTCATTTTTCAAGTTTTGTTGAAGAATCATGTATAGCAGCAAATAAAAAATACAAAATTTCTATTTTCAATGTATCAAGTTAAGCAATTTGGCATTCCTTACTCTGGCATAATAAAAATAAGAATATGATTGATATGTGTATATGTACACGTGCATATGTAAGAATCATTGACTGGGCACTCATTTTTGTAATATTTCACTGCAAAATGATGTAATTGGTTGACGTTTCCTAGTTGTGTCAGCCTGCAAGGTGGCTACAGTGATTCTTGCCTCTGGGCTTCCACACCCTCATGTGGGCTTCTGAGGTAGTATTCTTTAACACAGAATCAGATAATGTAGAGTAAGATTACAGTTGATGTGTTGATATGTGAGTTCTGAGAACAAGTCATAAAACACATCATCTCTTCCACTTTCCTCTCTTGGATTGCTTGCTCTGGGGGATGGCAGGTCCCATATCTTTTTTTATCTATTATCTATCTATCTTTTTTTTATCTATTTTTATTGCAAAGTCATATATGTATATGTGTATGCATATATATATATATATATGTGGATACAGAGAGAAAGATCTTCCGTCCAATGAATGATTCACTCCCCAAGTGACTACAACAGCCGGTGCTGCGCCCATCTGAAGCCAGGAGCTCTTCTGGATCAGCCATGAGGGTGCAGGGTCCCAAGGCTTTGGGCTGTTCTCGACTGCTTTCCCAGACCACAGGCAGGGAGCTGGGATGGAAAGTGGGGCTTCCAGGACGTGTACAAGCACCAAGATGGGATCCCAGTGCTTACAAGGCGAGGATTTTAGCCACCAAGCCATGGTGCTGGGTCCAGGTCCCATATCTTTATGCCTTTATGACACCCCACAAAAGCTCTGTGAAGATGTTCACGGAGTGGGGCACCCTGTTGGCAGTCAGCACTGCTTTGCCACACATGTGAGTGAGCCATCCCAGAAGCGGGTCCTCTTGCTCCAGTCAAGCCTTCTGATGACTAAGGTACCAAGTGATACCTCTCCTGCAAACTCCTGAGAATCACTGAGAATCTCTGAGCCAAGACATTCCGAACACCCCAAAAATATTTACTGCTAGTGTCGTGTAAGCAGCAATGGATAACCTATGCATTGGTTAAAATGCATCTCACTTCCACTTTAGTGGAAGAACATTGGTCCTTACTAGGGTTTGAATTATTTGGCGCACAAATTCATACAAAAAGTTTAACCCCAAGATCAGAAAGTAATTGTATTAAAAGGGTAAAAACTGACCAGTTAGGATAGTGATAGGTCAGGCCTTTGGGAAGTGATTAATCTGGATTAGGTCACGAGGGTTAAGCCCACATGATTAAATTGTAGTAGTTTATAAGGTGATGTAGACATAGTCAGACCTTCATGCTCCCTAATTCTTGCTACTTGATACCCTGTGTGTCCTTGAAACTCTGATAACAAGAAGTAAAGGTTCAACCAATAGGGCACTCCTGATCTTGGTCTGAGAACCTTCAGAGCCATGAGCAAAACCAAAGTTTGGCTTTCTGAACTATAGCAATAAAAATTTGCTTCATGCAGTCCTCACTGTTTTTCTCCACCTAGTCTCAGGAAAAGATACAATCTCATTAATCATATTAGCTCATGGTGGTGGAAAAGGCAAGCAAGGGAGAGAGATATATGAATTCTTTGAGACTTTTCCTGGAAAAGTTACACTCAGCTACACATCATTAGGGAATATAATCATTTTCCCTCTCATTCTTTGAGAATCAATGAGATTAATATACAGATGAAAAAAATATGTAAGGCTATTCCCTTAAAATCCAGTTTCGCTACAGTCTATTCTGATAGTGTGAGCAGATTCACTGTTGGCAGCAGAGGGCTTGTCCTTAAAATTAGACTTCAAGAAGTTGGGCACCAGGAAATGGCTCAGCTCCCAAGTCCCAGTTTCTGGCTTAGCTCTGGCCATTGTGGTTGTTGGGGGAATGAGCTAGCAGATTAGGAGATCTCTCTCTCTTACCATGCAACCCAGATTTCGAGTAAATTTTAGAAGTAAATAATATTTATTTATTTGCATCAGGACCAAAGCTGGAAGAGTGAAACTCAATCTAGACCTATATTGGTGACAAGGATGCAATTATTTGTGCTGTTTCCTGGTGCCTCCCAGAGTCTGCACCAGCAGAAAGCTGGACTGAGGATCTAAAGGCAGGACTTGAACCTACACACGCCAGTATGGGGCACATCCATCACACTAGGCCAAAGGCCCACCTTGAAGGGTAGCCCAGGGTCTCAGTCCATTCTTCACTGCTTTTCCAGACCATTATTAGGGAGCTGGATTGAAAGTAGAGCAGCTGGGGCTAGAATCAGTGCTCATATGGGAAACTGGTGCTATAAAGGGCAGATTAGCTTGCCATGCCCAAATAGATTTTTAAAATATATGCACTTTGCAAATTTCAAATACATAAGCCTCTAAGAAATCATAAATATTATATACCTAAAAAGCAAATATTTTACAATAACAAAATTAGAATAGATAGAGAACAACAAGGAAAGCTTAGAACCAGACAGGAAACAGTCAGCAGGGACTCACATATACCTTATTAGGTGGGACACGAAAATAAGTTACTCCTCACTGGGATATTGAATGTTTCTCTGCACACCCCTCCTAAAACTGTTTTGTGCCTCAACTGTTGACATACGCCTTTTTAAAGTTATAAGCCAGTTTGGACTATCCTAAAATCTGCCAAGTTCAGTAAAAATGATGCTTCAATACAATAAACTGCTAAATACAAAAATGAAAATAGACACAAGACAACTGAATAGTATCCTATAGCCATCTTAAGGAGGGTAGAAGCCAATTATATATAAATTAAAAACGAAATGTCAGTGAAGTAGCCACAGGATGTGGTTAAGAACTTGCATTTTCTAGCATATCAGTCACTC